CATATATATATATATATATATATATATATATATATATATAAGCTTTATCATCTATCAGCGTCACTCTTGCCTCAACTAGTCATAAATTTTAACGCCAGACGCGAACTCTTTTTACGAGTTCAAGCTTGCCTCGCCTCGCCTTGCCCCGTATCGCATCTGTGGCTGTTTGCTGCAGCTGCAAGTATCTGTATAAGTTGCTGGCGCACCCGTTTGTAGTGCGTACTCCGAGCTAAAATAAATTTAAGTTTTTTTTATTTATTTTTGTTTTTGTTTTTCTGTTGTTGGGGCTTTCAGCTTCGCCACCCATTGGCTGGGCGTGCCCTGTCCATGCCGTCTTGATGATCATAATTTCCAATTTTATGGCTTCCAACATATATCTACCATCTCCTATCAGCATGGGTGTGTAAATCTATGTCTATGTCTGTGTGTGTGTGTGTGTGTGTGTGTGCACATGAGCGAAAGTTTTTGATAGAAGAGTTCAACAATTTTATTGTGGCAATTTTTGTGCGCTTTACACTTGATGCATCTGTGTGGCTGTTAACCGGGCCATTGCCATCACATTTTGAGCACTCAGCAATGCTGCTTAAGTATTTAGTTTATGGATCACTTAACTTATCGTGCCACTTGCGTCATATGCTACAAACTCAGAAGAAGATGAAAGAAACACAGGCAATAATTTTTTAATTTCAATGGTGTGCAGTAGATATTCAAATAAAAAATTGATATATATCTATTTAGTATTTCAATTGTAACATTTTCCTGGACAGATCAACTTTTAAATATTGTTCATTTAAATTTCGTTGTATTGCATTTGGTGTAATATGCAAACAGGCTTTTTTCACTTCAATAATGCTTATTAAAATAGAATTTTTTCCCAGAAAATTCGCAACATGGCATGGGACACGTAGCTGCAGTCACGTACGACGCTCCCTGTGATCCGCACTGGGAACAGGCTAACCGCAAATATGACGACAGACACGTTGACCAAATGACACGGACACGCGACGCAGACGTAGACGTAGATGTAGACGAGTAGGTGTGCGTGTGCGTGTGTGTGTGTGTGTGTTTGTGTAGTCAGGTAGGGGTCGAGGTAGTCACTGCGTCACAATTCTGGGAGTTTTTGTCGTCAGAGGCATTAATGTGATGGATAAGCTGTGACGTAGCGAACCAGGAAGACGGCCACAAGCTCACGTGCCGACCTGGCAACCGTGTCCCAATCAGAGTCGGTTGCTGGCACCCACAAAAAGGTTGGGCTTGTGTAGTCCCTTCCGAATGACGCAAAACTCACGTGACGTTGTTGCCGTCTCACTAATTACACAGCTCTCTTTGGGTGGCTCAAACGAAAAAATGATCTGTTATAAGCATTACAATATCCTAGTTTTGGTAACAAATAAAGTAACGTTCAAATTTCCCTTTAAATGCTGTGCACTCTCAAATGTAAGCATGCTGGAAAGTGTTCTTATTTCTCATGTTTGTGAGAATACATTTTAGACTATAACTTGGATGTTTTCTATCCGAACTATATTTGAATGATATTTATTATTTATTCTTAGTCTAATCTCTGCCTTTCAAATCGGGTCTCTGATTGCAAAAGATATCGAGACATATCGTTATTCGCAAAACGGAGGCAGTTATCGATAAAATAAAATTAAAAATATTTGGATCTTAGAAGTCTCTAGTTCTCGTTGTCTCTGAGATCCTGATACTGATCAATAATATATATACTTTATGTGGTCGGAGATGCTGCATATTTTTGCACAACTATCATTTGATTAGGATTACATAGATATATCGATATAGAGACAGATATAACTGTTCATAATTATATATTAAGCAAGTGGCGGTCTAAGAGAATATGGGGTTTCAGTTTAACAATTCAGAATTCAAAGGAAATTTTAAATAAATAAGAAATTTTATTATACTTTGTAATAAGTGTGATTTCAGTCTAATTGTGATGCTTTTTTTCATTATCTTCCCAACGTTTGCAGTTTTGTTGTTTGTCTGGCGATTTGACTTTTGATTGTTAGCTATTATTTATTTGCGTGCAAATTTTCATCATCCACATTTGATAATCGCATTTATTTAGCTCTATTGCATTTATTTGCCTATTTATTAACTTGAAATGATGTGCAATTATTGCAATTAGCTGAGATAACTTAAATAGTATCGACTGGTGTATGTGATCTATTTGATGATATTTAACATGTGATATTTTGTTGTCAGACAATGCATGTGACGCACATTTCAGATCGCACTATAATCGTAAATATATAAATATATATAAATATACCAGATTATATATATATATATAGTCTTGTTTTTCGTTTCTTTCGACTTTTGCGTCAGCATTTTGGCGGCTGTAAGTAAACAAACTGAAAGATTATTATTTGTATATAAGTAGTATAGTTAAGCGATTTGTGTATTTATTTCAATTATTTAGCCTGACGTAAGACACTGTCGCACTTAATCTAAACACATTATATTAATAATAAAGATTCTATTCTGACACATTTTATCTGCTACAGAGTATTGCATAGTCGCGCAATTGAATGGATTTGCCCGAACTTCATTCAAATGTGGGATCAGGGTTCAATGGAATCGCAAACTAAATTAAAAAAAAAAAACAAAAAAAACAAAGGAAAGCGACAAAATTATAAAACCCTCTGCAGCAGTTAAAAAAAAAAAACGCATCTTGAAATTAATTAGCATTTGTGCGAAGGAGGTTACGATCAATCAAAGCCACAAAGCAACGACCCACACAAATGTATCTGTCACTGTATCTGTATCTGTATCTGTATCTGTATCTGTCACTCTATCTGTATCTGTATCTGTGGCCAACGGGCGACAATCGCAAGAGGTTAACGTATCTTTGTGGCGCCTATGCAAATGTTGCGGCTGCTACTTTCATTTCGTTGCCGCTGATAAAAAAAAACCAAAAAAAAAACAAAAATAAACAAAAACAAACGTGCGATTGCTGCAATGCTGCCCGCCCGACGCCAACCAAAATTTATGCACACACACACAAACAATGTGTGTTAATGCATGTGTGCATATGTGCATATGTATTGGTACGTGAGTAATTGACATTCATTTCCTCCTTGGCGTCGACAACCAATTTCACATCGCTCGCTCGCGCCAACGTCACAAACTCAAAGCAGAAGCAGCTGAAGCAGCTGAATACAAAGGCGAAAACGCAACAAAACGTTGAAGTTGACTTCACTGTTGCCAAGCGGTAGCAGCAGCAGCAGTAGCAACAAAAAACAGCAACATTCGGATGAGACACTAATCACCATTTCGCAGTCGCAGTTGCCTTTGCTGTTGCCAAGCGGCGCCAGCAGCAACGGCAACTCAACACTGATGAGACACCGTTCAACATTTCGCAGTCGCAGACGCCGTCGCTGTCGCAGTTGGCTGTGTTGTTGCCAAGCGGCGGCAGCAGCAGCAGTAACAGCAACATAACAGAGATGAGACACCGTACAACATTTCGCAGTCGCAGTTGGCTTTGCTGTTGCCAAGCGGCGGCAGCAGCACACACTAAACACCGAAAACAATTTCGCAGTCGCTGTTGACGTCGCTGTTGCTGTCGCCGTCGCAGTCGCTGTAGTCTATAGCTCTTAGCAACTATCCGAAATTAAGCGAGCATCAAGCTAACCGCAATCAGCGCATTTAACAGTTAGCTTGAAACAAAGGGATTAATGCGAATATTACGCATACAAACGTTAACTTTTAATTAGTGCTGGGAACAAAAACAAAATATATCAAAATTGAGAAGTTTAATATTACAAATTGAGAATATATATATATATAGAAGTGTTTTTGAAAAAAACCATGCAAAAAGATATTTATAATTTTAACGCCTTTATTTTTTATACTGCTTGTCATCTTTATAAATGTTTAAAAATATTATTTAAAGTAAAAATGAGATATATTATATGTATATTACAAAAAACATAATATTAGAGATTTTTTAAGCAATGCATTAACGCCTTTATTTTGTATACTATTTCTCAGTGTTATAAATAATTTTAAAAAAAATATTAAAATTAAAAATAAGAAACATTATAAGTATTGTTATGTTATATATTTTATTTTATTATTATTTAGTAACAACTATTCAAACAGATACTTTTCTTGTAAACATCTTTATTTTGTATGCTGTTTCTCATTTTAATAAATATTTCTCACTTTGAACAATGTCTTTTTTTGGGGTCTCCCTTTTTCTTAGACACATCCGAGCTCTGCGATATTCAACTCATCCAAATATTGGGCTGGCACAGATTGTAGTAATTACAGCCAAGATTTGGCTCGATTTTCCAGTGGGTCGTTGCTGTGGGTGTCTTCTATTCCCCATGCTGACAGCTGCCCTAACCTACCCTAACCTAGTCAGCTCTACTTCCTAGAGTACTAACTCATAAAAGCTTTTGTAACCCATAGGGTAACTTCTAGTCAAACAGTCATTAAGTTTGCGAAAAGCTTATTATAATGCCCTCGCAACGCTTCAGCAAATCGGAAATTACAAAAGCGAAAAACTTTGTTAAACGTCAGCAAACTGACAACAACATCAACAACTAGAACAACAACAAAAACAACAAAAACATTGCCAATTGCCCCATCAGAGACGTCATCATTTGAATGACAAGACCCAGTTCCACTGGCTCCAATGTCTCCGTTCTCCGCTGGGGGCACCAGCCGCAGACATTGATAATTATTGTGGCTATTGTTTATTCAAATAGTGGACAAAAAGCCCCGTTTGCAAATGCAAAAGATTATTTTGTATTTTGCCAAAAACTTGCCAAATTGGTATAATTAAATTAATTTTATTTTCGGACATCATCTGCCAAATTGTTATTTCTCTCGCAATATTAAAGAAGCGTCACGTAGTTATAATCTCGTAGAATAATCTGAAAAATAATATTAAATGGTCTTTCTGATCGAAAAGTGTTTTTTTCTTTACTCTTCTTTATTTTTGGGAATTGTGCCTAAAGAACAAAACCTTTCTATTATATTTTTTGTTTTGTTTTTATTATAGTTGGGTTGACAGTAAAATATGGATAGTGGAGTCGGTTGGGTCTAGTGTCTAGACCTAGCGGCTAATTAGCCAAACAATCATTCATCATTCAAGATGTTCATCATTATCTAGTTAATCGAATCGCTCGTTCCAAAGTGTTGTCAGCTAATCGCACTTGGAACCAGCGTCGCCAGTCGTCGTCATTTGCCTCATGGGGCTACGTGACAGTCGCCGCAATGAATTTAGATTAACCCCTGGCATTACTGTGATGAGTCATCGATGTCCCAGCTAGCAGCTACTAAAAGCAGAGATAGTGGCTAAGCGATAGGCGACAAACTAAATTAAATACGACCGAATTTAAGAAAGCACAGCTGACGATTATTAAATACCCTATACAAGCTAGAATTAAGAATATATATTGGATTAGCTTAAACCATTACTATAAAGTAGTTTCAATTTATATATAAATTTAAAAAAATAGAGATAAATAAAGACTACTTAGTCTTTAAGCCAAGAGTATATTCCTGAATTCGAAATATATTATTTGTCTCTAAGGTCTTTGGTTTAATCTAGCATGAAAAACATTAAATCAAATTTGAGATTCTTTTGCTTGATGGAAGATTTTCCATTGTAGAATCAGGATTTGCATACTTCTGGAACGATGATAGTGTATGCAAATAGATACAATTCATTAAAGTAATTTCTATTCATCTCTATGTATCTCTATAGTCTATCGTTTAATCCACCATGAAAGACAATGAATCAAGTTTGAGCTTTTAATGCTTGGTTTAAGATCTTCCATTCTGCAATAAAGATTTGCATAATTTACACTTATGGAATGTTAGAAAAGTCTCAGGTGTGATTAAAAGATGCAAATATATACAAGATACGCAGATGGCATGTAGATACAGATAAATGCAATAACGGCTTAAGATCTCTGATGTATTATTGTTTTGTAATGCAATTCATAATTGCAGGTAGTGAAAACATTATAGACGAAAGGTTAAAATCCTCGGCATTCACCAGACAAATAAACAAAAAAGCGCACATAAAATGAAAATGAATAACAAATAGTGGAAAAAAAACGTGAAATAGAAATAGAAAAAGCTAGCAAAATAGAAGCAGAGATAAAGCGAAAATAAGAATTTCAACGGCTCGTCGAAACGAAAACAGAAAAACAAAATTTGCATTTGCTGACGCACTTTTCTTGTTTTTCGCCGAATTTCGCCTCTTAGCACATTTACCTTCTGTTTGTTTTGACGGAAATCTGTTATTAAATGGCAAAAATATAATGATCTAATGGCCAATGCGAACACATCGCCGCTCCACACACACGCGGCGACTGACCACCGATTGGCAATTAAGTGGGTCGACGTTGCCAAATGCCAATTATATGTACCTAAATGTGTACAAGCGCACAGTGGCCCACAAGCGACATTTTGTGGCCACCACTATTATATCTATCTCAGATTTGCTTTGCTCAATACTCAATTGCTTCCCGAAATTCGTAGAAATTCAACAAAAAACTACAAAAATTAAAAAAATAAATATTAATTATTTACGACCGTTAAAAATTGCGTTAAGGGTATAATATGGTACATATGTAACTGGCAGCAAGAAACATCTTCGATCCCATAATCAAATTTGGAATATAAATAGTCGAATACAACAGGCAGATCAGGCTCGTGTAATTCTATCGATAACTGCAAGCACTTTACGACTATCGATACAAATCGATTTCCGATTGCAATGAAAAAGACAATTGTAAAAAGATATTTCAGTTAGATCGAATAAGAAAATATGATTCTTCTTTTAGCTGAAACGTATTTGCTGTGTGCAGGGTATCTCCTAGCTCAGCTCTTCCGACTAGCTTTTTAGCTTTAACTATAAGTAATAAATAAAATAACTAACTCTGCACAAAATCAAGCCTACAGTCAGTTTTTCATGCTTAAAGTTTGCACATGTTCTATATACTCAATTTATAACGTGATGGGGCGTCTTGTTATGGTTCAAATGAATCAAAAATGTATCTTGGATTAGTAATTCATATTTTGTCTATAGAAAAGCAAATGTTTCCAGTGCGCAAACATCAGCGGGACACTTTCGATGTGGCCGAGCTGAATAGAAAATCCAAAAAGCAAAAAAAAAATATAAAAAAAATATCATCTATCTGGGCCCTTGCCAAAATTATAATTACCTGACATTGTGCGCGATGGGGGGTTGCATCTGGAAATAGGTCTACGTAATATTTAGTTGGCTGACCCCAAGCAGCGTGCATCAAATTTCCACTTTGCTGGCGGGTAGTCAAAATGAAATTTTCAATATAGCGAAACGTATGTAATTGCCAAAAATGCTTTTGTGTATCTCTCAGATATACACAATATTGCTTTGCTATGCACGTCAATTGCAGTCATTTGCTTTGAACTGTCATTGACACACCAAATCCAACCAGATTTAGTTTGCTAAACAGATTTCAAATACAACAAGCTCATCGTCAAAGATTGTAGACAATTATAAATATGACAATTTAGTGTGCTTTTGGCAAATTGATCGCACAATTTGTTGAATTTGTAGTTCAAGTGTACTCAAGATTAAACATTTGCTGAGAACTTCACGTTCACGTTCACGTTTGATGCTGCCATTATTTATGTCCGATTTTGTTCTCTCGCTTTTTTTTTTTTTGTTTTTGTTTTTGGCGAAAATGTCGAAAACGATCGTGAGTTTGTTTTGGCTGTGCTCGCAAGGCAAGGCATTATTTGATTATTTTTGGCCCAGCTGATTATTTGTTGGTTTGTAAAAGTTCGTATTTATGCCAAAAGTCAAAACAAATACTGCTTTTGTACAGTTTTGCCAGCGATTTCGAATTTCGATTTTGTTTGCCTCCAAGGTCAATGCAAAACAAATGTCGAACCGACCAACTGACAGTTGAAAAGACTGATGATGTTACCATATTGCGATTATCATTTGCTGCCCCAAAAACTTTCGCCTCATGGCACGCGCCCCTTGTCCGAGCCGCAAGTACGCCAGAATTGAGAATCGGCCAACGGGAATTCATGTCCGGCCGTTGACGTCAGCACAGCACGGCGGACGCGAGTTAAGAAAGAAAAATACGAATTTTGAAATAAATAAACAGGCCGGGCAAACCGAAAATCAATTTGTCTGCCAGTTGTCATTACACAGGGGGGGACTTCATATTCGTTGAGTGGAGGGGAACTGGTGGCGGTTTGGTAAGGGGAATGTCAAGCCAAGCGCTTGGAATCAATTTGTTTGTTTGCCACTATTCAATATTTGGGAACTCAACGCGATTTGCAGATTCGCATATGCGATAACCGTAAAACACCAATAAATCTATCTTTATATTTATACTCTTATAATAAAAGACAAGCCAGACTTTACTAACAACTTCAGCTGCCTGTTTAGCGCTGTTTCATCTTGTTACAGATTTAGGCAAATTTGAAAAACAATTCTACTACATTTTTTGTATATGTACGTATAAATAAAACATTTGTTTTCATATATATATATATATATATATATAAAATATTTCGTTTGTTTATTCAAACTCAACACTGGCATATTTAATTGATGAAGTTGTTGATTAGTTTGCAAGGGTATTTGTTATTCGACACGTTGATGATACCTGTTAATTTTTGCTTTTATTTTGGACAACTTGATTTATAACCTTGGTCAACAAGTAAACAAAGTGCGGGGCACATTGCCTTGTTGTTGTCATAAGCAATATTTATTTAGTTTCTATTTCTATGATTTTAATGAAAAAGCTTCTTCGTATATTTAAATACGCCAAGTCAATATTTGTGCCCATAAATCAAAAACGAGCAGCTGCGATTCACACAAGCATAAATCTAATAAATACTAGATTCAATTTTGTTCTCTTCTATTTTTTGATTTACATTGTTCTGTTTGCTGCTGGCTTCGAGCACTTTACCTCAATTTACAATTTGCAGTTTTTCTATTTGGGCTTGTGTTTTTTTATTATTCGTTTTTTTTATTTTATTTTTTTATTTATCAATATTGCACTTGCCATTGTTAACCCTTTTTGGCAATACCTTCATCTACATTTCTAGGTCGTCAGAATAATAGATCATTTCATGTCAGTTTATGATGTTAAAAGTATAAGTAAAGAAATTTCGCTTTGTTCGATGTCTCTCGGTGTCTCAATATTAAAATCGAATTCATTCGATGAGTCGTAAATCTAAAGCCTTTCACATTGAATTTATAGCACACGCCTTCAAACAAACCCTCAATTTACGACAGCTTAACTTCGAATCGAGAAAAGTTGAATAAAGTTGAATAACAAGGCAAAACCATATGCAAATTAAGACGATCGATGGATCGTTTAGCTTAAGGTTTATCAATTGAAACGGATACAACCATAACGAACCGCAATCAAGGTCAACAATTGGAAAGTTTCTGCTGAATGTTAAGAATCGGATGCCCATTTATTAAAATCTTTGGGGCTTGTCTTCACTTGCGCCATATGTGTAAATTATTAAACATAAATTCAAAGCCAATTTTGTTAAGAATTTAATAACATAATGAATTGTTGTTTGCTGCCATTTCCAATTGTTTTTCACACGCGGCATACATGCAAAGTATTTTGTTCTTCCGCTGGCATTCAAACTGTGGTTTATTGACGGATAACTAAATACATTTAGAGTACTTTAAGTAAAAACTCTAAACAACTTGTACAATTTAATAAATTCAAGTTATTCTGTTGACCCTTTTAAGATAATTCTTTACGACAGTTTTAATAAAATCAGTTTTAATAAAAGTATAAGTCTAAAATTGATTGGGAAATGCCATTTTTGTTGTCCAAAAAGCAGACGCCAGGTGGCGCCACAGCATTGGCGGTTTGCCAATTGAATGGTCGGTTGTAAATGAATTCGCAATCTTATAAATTCATTGAAGACTTTTTCTTTTTTTCTGAGTATAATTCAGATTGTTAAGTATATACTCGTTCAAGAAATAACAAATTGATGCATGGAATTCACATAAATCTAAGGTGATTGTGCTTTATGTGGGCGAATATATTCCATTCATGCGATAACCAAATGAAAATGCATTATTAATAGCAGAAAATCAGAATGATTGCTCAAGCACTGGCTAATACCCACTAAACTAGCTGTTTACTTTGCCTCATTCAATCGAAGTTCAGCTTGCGAAATGATCCGTCGACACCAAAGATGCTGTTGTAATCGTATTGCTGACCGGCTGGTCTCAGCTTCTCATCCACGCCATAGTTTGTCTCGTCTATCAGGAATTCTCGATGTTCCGTAAAAACATTCAAGTGATGTTGAATGAGCTCCTCAATGGTGCCCTGCTCACCGCCCAGATGGGCTGGTAAATATTTTTGTGGAATGTGGGCATACAGTGACTCCAGATTGCTGCCATGCACAGATATCTGCAGTGGGACAAGTTATTGCCGTGAAGTTTTTTTTTGTTTTTGTTGGAAATAACTCAGAAAAAATAAATACACTTACGCGATTCTGTTCCTTGGTCGGCAAAATCGAACGTATCGCGTTAAAGCTCAACTCGAAGACGGCGTTGGTGTTAATCATATGCCTGCCCTTATCGCGCACGGGCATTGCATCCTGCCCAAAGACGGACATCTTCTTGGCGGTGCTCGGCGTCATCTGAACCATATGTGCCGGCGTATAGTTACTAAAGTCAAGCACAAAAAGAAATCCATGGATCACCGCATAGTCGTCATTATACAAAGTGATCCCGGTTAATCCGTGCCCAATGGCTATGATCTCCTCAAAGCTATATTTATCCGCGGCATAGCATCCGGGACGCACATAGATAATTCGTGGTCCATTGTCATGCAGCGGTATTGGTAACCTCAATGCTACCCTACACAGAGAATAATTGTTATGGTTAATTAAATAACAACGCAAAATCTTAAATCAAAAGAAGATCTACAATCTTAATTCACGAATTTATTTTTAACACTGAGTTTGATAAAGAAAAGTACACTCAGAGAAAAAATCTCCCTCAATATTAGAAAAATTACCCTAATATGATTAACGTTTTAAAAACTAGAGAACTAGAAATAATTTGTAAATATAAGAAATCATTTTTCTTAAAATTGAAAAGGTTTGCCTTAAATAGTAATATCGAATTTCTAAAATTCGGGTTGATCTGTCTGGGTGCAAGTAGCCAAGCAATTCGGCTTAAGATAGTTTATTTAGAATTACATTTCGAACTTTATTTACTAAATTTCTAGAATGGAAAATCTTTAATAATAAATGCTCAACCTCAAATAAAAATCTAAAATCACGAATCAAGAACGTGATTTTAATATATAATATAACTTATTTTTCTTCAGTGTATCGACTTACCCCAGACGCAGCAGTTCGTGAGTGCGTTTGCTGTCAACATCGGATATGGTGTAGAATTCTGGATAGAGAGTGCGCAGGGTGTAGTACTTGTCCAGCTTGGCCTTGGCTTTCTCCAGGCTGAACTTGCAGCCGCGTAGGAAGGCGACCAGGAACTGATCGTCGGAGCGGGAGCGCAAATGCGGCTGCTGTTTAATCCAGGTGCGCAGAGTTGCAATATCCGCGTCCAGGCGATCGGGAACTTCGTTCAGCTCCTCGATGGCAGTGCGTTGCAGACTCGCCGACAGGGGGCGTATTTCGGGCATGTTCAACTTGTAGCGTAAACTTTCCTGTTCGCTGTCAGCGACCGCACTGAACTCCAATGCACCATCGATAAGTCGATAACTGTTGACTTTGGTTTATCGCCATGGATTAGATAATGTTCCATTATACTTGACTTTTGCTCTAAATATAGCAACTAATTTTGATTAGGTAATTATAGCTGCAGATTAAGATAACGACCTTTGGCGAAGTGTATGCCTAAAATTCTAATTATTCGAAATACCAATTGAACACGTGTGGAATTTTTTTGGATTAGCAGAGTGTCTTTAAATGATGGTCAGATTAGGTGATTAGATTTGCAATCTTGAGCAAAACAACAAGCAAAGTAGTTACTATTATCGTGGTGTTGGGGTGCTAAGACCCCTTTAGTGAGCTAAAAATAAATACGAATTTTATAATAATTTAATTTTTGTTCATGAAATCAGCTTAATTTATTTCGTAGTAATTTGTATTTGAGTTGAAAGAAAGTTTCAAACTGTTTTAAATGATGATTTATATATATGCATGTGTTTACGCTGCGTATGATTATTATTACATTTATAAACATAAGTATACGCATGGTGTGACAGTCAAAACTAAGTTATCTTTCTTTTTTTAAACACATCTACTCTACTTTATTTACAACGACTCCTTTCTTCTTCTTCTTCTTCATGTTTGTGATCACACAATTGATATCGATCGACGTCGATATCAATGTTAAGTACATAGTTGCATGTTAAGTTTCACATGTTATGTTACAGTCTTAGTACTATGTACACTAGTGGCCTGTTACAATACGTATACATTAGGTTTAATTGTTTTGATTTTGCTGCACTCGTCTCGGTGTTTTTTTATTTATTTTTTTTTACTATTATGCTAAACACGAACTTTAATGTTATCTTATCTGCTTAGTCTTGTTTGCTGTTTCGCCTCGCTAATTGTAGTTGTTTCTTTGGCAGTTATCGGCGTGCATGTATCACATTCACTCACACACACACACACACACACAAAGCATACGGCGACTCACTTAAAAGCTCACATACACACATGCCCACATACATTTGTATATGTGTGTGTATGTATATGTCCATACGGAGGTACAAATATATTATTCAATTGTACTGGCAGACATATCGGCACCAAAGCAGGCAAAGCATATGTATGCATATATATATATATATATATATATATATATATATATATATATATATATGTATATATGTGTATAAATATGTATGTATGCTCATAAGTATACAGAAGAAAAACAACAAAGAGCTAAAAAGCTTCTGAAGACACATCTCTATATGCTGTCAGTTGAATTTCTTTTAGTTTTCTGTTCGTTTCTGCTGCTTTGCCACGACCCATCGCCCCAGCTCCCTCCATCGAACCATTCACTGCTCTGCACCCACGTCAGCGACTATCAATTTTAATGCATGTCGCCTTTCGTGCCAAAAAAATACGTACAAAATGACAACACGACAACGACAACAACAGAAAACGAGCCACAAAACGAAAAACAAATAAACAAAAAGCATATGACAAGAGTCGCTGCGACGCGACGCAGCTGCAGCTGCAGTCGACATTTTGGCTGTGATGCTGTCTTCTTGTGTATGTACATAAATACATACATACATATGTGTATATATATGTACCTATACACTATATACGTTTATATGAATATGCATTGTACATGCTCGCTCAGCTGTTATTCACTTTGACCTTCAACATTTTTGTTTGATGCATGCATTTCTCAATACATATACATATATATGTATATGTATGTATGCTGGTTTGTGTGTGTATGTGTGAATATACTAAAACTTAAAGCTAAAAAAAACTTAAAACTTAAAAGTTTTAATAGGAAAACTCTTTCAAACATTCTCTTCTGTTTTATTCTTGATTAAAATGTATCTTAAGCAAAGAAGATTTTCTTAGATTAGACTCGCTTCTTAGTTCTCTTTTTCACCCAACATTCAAATAGTATGTATATTCATTTGGGTTTTAAGTGCTTCATTTTAGATTTTTTATTCTAGAATGGAAACTTCTCGAATCAAGACTAATTTGGAAGTCCCCTCTCTTTACTTAAGATTTGTCTAGATATATAGGAAGAGGTTAGCTTAGTTAAGTTAGTTCAAATGCATGTTGCTTTAAAAAGGGGTTTCTATCAGAAATACTTTTGGTATGTAGATATGCTCATAGTTTACACGTACAAACACATACTGATACACAATTTAATGGCCCTTCGCGTTTTGATGCCTCTTTTGACATTTTGCAGCTTGAATAGAAAAGTTTTCAACACAAAAAAAAGAAACGAAATACAAATAATAAAAGGCAAAGTCAGCAGGCAAAACATGTTCAAGTGACACCCAAGTGCTCGAATACATCAGATCCACAAATACACAAAGCACATTCCCAATTTCTACACATTTATATTTTTTATTATTTTCCACTCAGAATTCTGGTTTTCATGCTCTCTTCTTATACAGCTACAAAGTGTATCGTAAAATTTGTCACGTTAATAATTTTTGTGTTTTTTGAATCAATCTGATGGAACTTATCTCGTATAATAATAGATTGATTTACAACATATAAGGAGTTTCTGTATTTTCCGTGTATATTTTGATCAATTTTAAAACTAGGGTATTAATTCTTCTAGCTTGTATTCAATTTGAAATGTGTTTTTTTTTTGTGTTTGCCCATTTGGCGTTGTAAACATGCCAGCAACAAAAAATTGCTAATGTAAACATAGTTGAGACTCTGAAACTGATATATTCATATATGTATGTATTATTGTATGGCAAACTAAAGGCAAAGTGTTGAAAACACTTGGAAATGGATCAAATCAGACGTTGCCAAATGTCAGCAACTCAATGCATTCGATTCTCAGATGATCTTAATCTTAATCAATGGAGGAGGAATTTTAATGATAATATTCTAGGTCGTGCTTATGTTTAAATATTCATATATTTATCAATTTCATAAGCCTTATAGAATACATAATCATTGACTAGGAATAGAACCAGAGTGGAATATGTTTGATTAACTTAGTTAATTTAGAACTATCTACTCGGTTACTTAAACAAACTGAAATCATATATAACAGAGAATAACAGATTGTATTATTCACGGAATCGATGTGTTACATAAATATATGTATATATATATAAACTTTAAAAACCTTTAACTATTTCCAAGTTGATTTATAAGCTTTTTGTATTCCTGAGCAGTGAGAGCTTTGAAAATGTTGTATTTGTCCGGAATTCCACTTGATTATAAAAAAATTAATAAGGAAGACCACTAAAACGGAAACTCGGAAGGAAAGGGAAAATATTACTTCGAATTTCCCAACCAAATTACTTTTTTACACGCCATTATACTCAGAAAGTAAATAAATACAAACAAATTTTCTAAGCTTATTTATGTATATATATATCCATATATATATTTTTGTATACAACTGGAAACAGATGATTACATAACTGAATATAATCTCCGATATTTTTTCCAAGTTTATTGGGAATATTTTTGATATTTAAAAAACTCTTAGCTGAAATTGGCCAATCTTCACCAAGAATATTTATCTACACATTTACGACTAAATATAAATCGTATACTTCTGCAATACTTTGTCAATGTCAGACTAGACACAAACACTTTTGGGGAATACCTTGCAGCCAAATGATATTTTAATTTTAGTATACCCTGTACCCCTTACAAATTTATAAAGAAGGGTATAATGAAGTTGTGCAAAAGTATGCAACAGACAGAAGTAAGCCTCTCGGGCCCCATATCCGTTTGGTTGGAAAACATGATGTCAGAGACTATAGGCTAGAGAATTGAATTTTGAATATATATTATGGTAACAAGCTAATTTTGTTTTATCGATAACTGCCTCCATTTCGCTAATATCGATATCCACTAGCAATAAAATATACAATCGCAAAGATATAACCTACCAATTGATACACAAAATATACACTGACATATTAATGATGAACTGTAGAAATTTCATTAATGTCATAAGCTATTTTCATATTGAACAAATTAATATCAGCAAGCGTAATATATATTTAAGACCTGGGCTTAGGGTATCTCCGAGTCGGGTTTTCTCGTGTAGAGTTTGCTTACTTGTTTATATTTTGTTTGATGCACATAGTACACATATACTTTTTAAATAATAAGCAACTTTTTGCTTGGTTTAGTTCATTAGAAAAGAAATTTGCTAGCCGTACCACACATCATTTTTAATTTTAAACCCATCTCTTTGAACAAGTTGTTTCACTCGTGTGTCGCGGGTCTCTGGCACGCGAGATCAACGTTTTCGATGAGGTAAGAAATTATTTTGAGTGCGGACAGATCGGTATATATATTTATACATAATTATATATAATTATTATTTTTTTGTTGCCTGTCATCTACTTATATGGTTTCTCTGAATTAGTTTAAATTGAAAAGTGAGTGGCACTAAGCGAATAATATATAAACCAATTACTTGTATTCTAATCCATAGCCATAAATGGTTCTTCATTATCCAGAGTCGTGTATTATACAACGACAAATGTTGAGAGCCATAAAAACTTCACACCATTATGCATAATGATTTTTAAATTTGTGCGTTTGCCTCACAGCATTTAATTTACAATCAGCGTCAACTTTTAACGCAGATTTCGTTTTTGGTGCTCATCATTAGCCTCATTGTCGCCGGATGTTTGGAACAATTGTGAGTATTTCTAGTAATGTGAAACATAAAACAATTTAAGTACATAATTGAAATCGGTTAAGAAAGCAAAACAGTGCCAACAGAGCAGTCGTCACTTTTACAGGGTATTCGAAAAGTTGTTATTCTTTTGCACCGTTTGCATATCTTTTGCATATATACATATATTTTTATAATAATTATTACTAGTATTTTTATTGTTATTATTATTCGGCAGGTTCAAAAGTTCTGTGATTATTTCAAATCTTTTCTTCTTCCTGGATGCAAGTAAAACTACTTGGCTATCGGGAAACAATACCTATATTTCTTGACGATTTAAGCTGACGTCTTC